ATAGGCATGTGCTCCCACACTAACAGTAAAATTTTTGTTTGTTTCAGTGAGTATAATTTCAAACTTACACAAAAATTGCAAGAAGAGTGAAGAGAGCTCCCTTTTACCTTTACTCCACATCACCATTCACCCGCACTTGCTTTTACCTTTTGAGCATCCTCTCCCGCTCCGTATACTTGATTTCCAAGTCCTAGGAAAGTAAGTGGCAGTCAGAACAATCCTTTGCTTATAAATACCTCAATGATTTTTTTTTAAAAAATAACTTATTCGTTGTTGTTGGACCTTTATTTATTTTTATTTTTATGTGGTGCCCGAGAATCTAACCCAGTGCCTCACACATACCAGGCAAGCTCACTAACACTGAGCCACAACCCCAGTCCCTACCTCAATGATTTTTGTCAACAATAATATTCTCTGAAATTTTCAAAATTAGCAAAATACCAGAGATACGAGGGTTTTGTCTAATCTCCAGGCCATATTCAGATTTCATCTGTTGTCCCAATACTTGAACTCACTTGTATCTACCTTTTTGAAGACTATTTAGTCACATAGTTAATATGTAAATGCAGCTTCTGTGTAAAACATTACAGATAAGGCAAAAGTAGTTCTCTTTGAACTATTCAATCCCAGTCCCTCCAATCCCACAAGGTGTTATGGTGTAATGGGTAGGAATGCAGGGACTCTGCCACTTAGCTGTGTGACTTTGAACAAGCTCCTTAAACTGCCTGTGTTTCTGTGATCTGTACAATGGGAATGATAATGAACTACCTCACAGTTACTGCATGGGTATGAGTTCATCCTGATAAAACAGAACAGTGCCCTCACAAAGTTAAGTAATCAGTAGATGTTACCTGTTCTATTAGCCTGCTGGACCTCATCCCGTGGGAAAGTACAAGGGAATGCAAGAAGCAGACATTACCAAAGCTCCCTCCAGGGCACCAGCACTTAGGGCTTGAGTCCCAGGAAGATCCAGAGATACACAATGTAGGGCTGAAGAAAGGGTAGTCCCCAGTCCCTGGGCATCTCTGTTATTCGAGCTCTCCTTTCCTTAGAAAGGAGAAACCTTTTTCAGATGAGGAAACTGAGGCAGAGAGATTAAATTATTTGGAAATTTAGGGCCAGCAGAAGGAAGCTCAGAGTCCCAGCAGTGTCTTAAGTTTGCCCCCCTGCCTGGGGCTGGGACATTTCACATAAAAACGGCTCAGCTCCAAAAATCATTGAGGTAGCGGCTGAGGTTGTGGCTTAGTGGTAGAGTGCCTGCCTCGGTGGTGCACGCCTGTAATCCCAGCTGCTCAGGAGGCTGAGGCAGGAGGATGGTGATTTCAAAGCCAGCTTCAGCACAAGCGAGGTGCTAAGCAATTCAGTGTGACCCTGTCTCTAAATAAAATACAAAATATGGCTGGGGATGTGGCTCAGCAGTTGAATGCTCCTGAGTTCAATCCCTTGTACCCGCCCCCCGCCCCCAAAAAAAGGCTCAGTTCTAGCCTGGACCACTGCCTGAGCTTGATGGGCTATGGCTGGCAGTCAAGTCCATGGGTCAAAATCCCATGAGGAATTTTGAGGAGTTTTGAAAGAGACTGTGAAGCAGAAGACCAAGGTAGAAAGGAGGAAATGGCTGGCCCTTGTCCCTGGCAGGCAGGCTGGCTGGGTAGACAGCTGTAGGGGCCCTCCTTCCTGTGAGGGACTAGGCCCAGAGCTTAGATCTCTAAGCCTTCCATCTCCCCAAACCACAGCCCAGAGGTGTGAAAGAATGAAAATAACAGGGGGAGGTGTGTCAGAAGAGCCAGGTGCACATTTCACACCTTGACCACAGGTGGGGCCCACAGCTTCACTCTGACTAACTTCCTCCTCAGGCTTCCCCATGGCTGCTAGGGAGGACAGAAGCAGGAGGGCTTCAGCCAGAACTCCCCAAGGGTTGGGCCTGGCTCTGACCTGGTCTGGGGGCTGCTTGTAACTGGAAAGGACAAACAGAATAAGAGGGCCAGACAAAGGCTTGGTTCATTGCATAACACAGGAACTTTCCAAGACACCTTAGCTGTGAATGACAGCAGAAGACCACCACAGATCTATTCTGAGGCTTCAGATGGCTTGGTTTGGAAAGTTACTAGAGTGGGTGCAAACAGCTGGGCACCTACCCTGTACTAGACACTTTCTACCCATATTGTTTGCAGTCCACAGAGAAACACTATCAAATGCATACAATCATAGAAACCATTTTCAGATGAGGAAATTGAGGCAGAGAGATTAAATTATTTGCCTGGGATCACACAGCTGGGCAGCTAAAGGACTTGACTAGGACTGGAGAATTGTTCTGACTCCCAACCAAGGTTGAGGGGCAGCCTTTCTGGAAGACCAGCCCTCTGACCATGGCTGCACACCTCTTAAGGTACCACTCTCAATTGTGAGCTACCCTAGCATGAAAGGCTCCCAGTGGCTCTAGGTCTGTGGCCAGTGTCCCACTCACTCAGCATTGTGCTCTTACTAAGCACTTGGCTCTGTGATTGGAGCCTGTGGCTTTAGTTAAGTCAGTTCACCTTGTAATAATCTCACCGAGGAAACTGGCTCAAGATGGTTCTGCAATTTGTCCAAGGTCACACCTCACAAACTGGGTGGAGTCAGGGCTTGAGTCCAGACAAATTCAGTGTTCTTTCCCTTGTGTCACAGTCACACAGGTCAGCCCAGGAGCAGCAAGAGCTCAGGCTGGCTGATAAGGACCCAGCATCAGGATGTCATCAGGATGTTGGGACTCAGAAAGGAAAGTTCTCTGTCCAAAGCTCTTCCCCTGACCTTCTCCCAGGTATCCTTCCCAGCAACCTGAGAAGGTGTATCATCCCAATATCACAGATGAGGAGACTGGGGCCCAGAAAGGGGACCAGGGATCCCTAGACCTTAATATTTCACACAGACCAGTAATATTCCAATATTTATTTGGAGTACCCATGTTGGATTGCCATCGTCTGCCAATGCAAGATATTTCCAGAATGACCATCTGTTTTGCCATCATTTTTGCATAAAATAAATATCCTCTTAATACCAGAAAAGAGATGAAAACATAATACAGACTGAATCCTTTAAAAAGAACAAATATAGCCTTTTGGAGTCATTATTCTTATCTGTGGAAACCCAGTAACCTAAACCCCTTCACAGACCAGCATTGGGACATCGTGATCCCAGCTCCCATCCCTTTTCTCTCCATAGGCAGTCACTTGCCAAGTCCTACTCATCCTAACTGGCCTAGCTTCAGAAATTCTCCTGGCTTCCTCCATTTCCACTGCTCCCGACCTACCCCAGAGCTTCAGATCCTTTTGACCTGAACCCTATAGGTGATAAGCTGTTTTAGGGAAAGCAGTCACACCTGTGTACTGAAGAAGGGGAGAACTTTGATACCTGACAAGTGTGCATCATTTCAATGAACTTGAACTGAATTTCAGACATGTGCCTGAAGGCTTTGGAGGAGAAATCAGGTTAAAAACTAGGGCCCCAAAGGTCATGAGCTAGCATTTGGGGAAGAGAGGGAAAGAAGAATCTGCTGAGGTGAGGCAACTTAGGGGCACCCTTGCTTGCTGATAATGAGAAGGGCAATAGGTAGGGGAGAAGAGAAGAAGGGGAAAGTTCCAAGAAGATAGGAGAGAAATTGTTCTACCACTGTGCACTATGAAGCTGTCTTACAGCTCATCAGAACTCCTCCCAACCCCATTCTTTTTTAAAAATATTTTAATAGCTTTATTTATTTATTTATTTTTATGTGGTGCTGAGGATCAAACCCAGGGCCTCACATAGGCTAGGCAAGCGCTCTACCACTGAGCCACACAAACCCAGCCTCCCCTACCCCATTCTTCATACACTGGAAGTAACTGCTCTCATGAATTTGTGGTGTCTCCAGTCTCTGTCTTAAACTTCGAGAACAAGCAGCCATATCCAAAACAATATGGCATTGCTTTGTGTGGTGGTTCCTAGAATGTACTTATAAGTGGTGTCCAACTAGACACAATATTCTCTTACTTGCTTCTTCCACCATGTGGGCATTGGTTTCTCTAGATACATCCATGTTAAAAAAAAATGTAGCTTTACTTCACTCATTTTTAGCTGCATGAATATCTCAGTTTATCATTTAAAAGAAACTGAACACAGCAAAATAAGTGGTAAAAGGAAGAGTTAGGCGTACGCCTGTAATCCCAGAGAGATGGGAGGCTGAGGCAGGAGGATCCTGAGTTCAAAGGCAGCCTCAGCAAAAGCGAGCCACTAAGCAATTCAGTGAGACCCACCCTGTCTCTAAATTAAAAAATAAAAAATACAAAATAGGGTTGAAGATGTGGCTCAGTGATCAAGTGCCCCTGAATTCAATCCCCGGTACCAAAAACTAAAATAAAAGAAAAGAAAAAAAATTAAAAAGGAGAGTTAGCTGTGTGGGCTCATTCCCCACACCCACCCTTACTTGCCATGTCTGACGACAATGTTTCCTTTCTGAATCATCCATGGGACAACCCACTACCTCACAAGGGACTTGCATGGTTGGAATGAGGCAGCATCAGAGAAAGCACCTAAATTAGCAATGTCTAGCACACAGCAAGTTTGTCCCTAGCGGTTCCTTTTCCTTTCCCCTGTTGATGAGCAGGGTGGGGTGATGGCAAAGAACTAGATTTAGTGTGAAGGATTTCTTTAAAATATTTTAATTTTTCAAGAAAGCGAATCGTCTTTACAAATAACACATTTAGCAATTCAGACTGTACAATCTTGCAAAGATCAACTCCAGCCCAGGATGGAGGAATGGGTATTCTAATTTATTGAGCATTGACCAGAAGAAGGGGCAAATCTTGCATCTGTGAGCAGGGTTGCCCTCCACTTCCCCACTGCATGGCTTCTCTTTCAGATCTCTCCACTTAAAGGATCTGCTCCTACCCAGCTACCCTCTGCCCTTCCCTAGGGCCCAGACTTTCTGGTCCCAGACTTGCAGACAGTTCCTCCAGAGTGGTTTCACTCAGCCTCAGGAATGGCTGGAGCAGGACTTCTGTGGCCTGGGGTCCAGGGAGGTCTGGTATAGATAACCCTCTGGAAGAGGCTGCACTGAGAACCCTGAAACACTCACTTCCTCTGTGCACTGCACGTTCCCAACCACAAGCACCAAAGCAAACGGGCAGGCAGCACGCAACCAAGCAGCCGGAGCACCAACCCAGCCATGGTCCCTGAGGTAAGTGCTGTTGCCCAATGTGGCCAGTCCATACCTTGGAGTGGGGAACCCAGGGCACTAGGGATAGGCCATAGTGGGCCCACAGCTACAATGCAGGGGCACCAGAGGGCTAGGCGAACAGGTAGAGGTGGTAGGAGATTTGATAGGTAAACTAGACAGGGAATTGGGAACTCAACTTGGTGACTGACCACAGGCAAGTCTCTTCCCCTCTGGCTTGGGTACCTATTCAGCAAAATTGGGGTGGTGAGGGCAGTAGAGGCTCAATCTTGAAGACTTCTAAGATTCCCTTCATCTCTGACTTGGAACTTAGGCTCTTGCGAGCTGGATTGAATTGGCACCAGGGAGGCCTGCAACTCTGGAGTGCTTTAGGGTAAGAGTGAAGGGTAAAAAAGATTCCTGTTAGCTGGGTGTGGTGGTACACCCCTGTGTCACAGCTACTTGGGGAGCTGAGGCAGGAAGATCACTTGAATCCAGGAGTTCAGGTCCAACCTGGGCAACTTAGCTAGATCCTATCTCCTAAGAAGAAAAGAAGGAAGGAAGGGAAAGAGGGAAGAGGGAGTGAGGGAGGAGGGAGGGAAGGAAAATTCCTGCTGAAATTTGGTTGGGAACTCAACTTGGTGACTGACTACTGGTAGGTGGCTAAATTGGGTTTGCAAGCCTCTGTGTAGGGGAGAGGAAGCACGGGGCAGAAATCAGGTATGGGGAGTGGTGCAGTGATTTGTAGAGAGACCCCATAAGGAGGCAGGAAGTTGGGGTCCTCAGATAAGAGCTGAGGAGACAATGGCAAGTGACTGAGAGAAAGGATGGGGGAGGGAGGTGCTGGGAGGCAGGTGGTTAAACTAGGTGTGGCCACAGCACTGAGGTTGGCAAGTCATGAAGGGAGTCTGAAGAGACAGAGAGGAAAGTAGCCAGGAGGGCTCTGGGCACTTGAGGGAAACTCTTCCTCCTGCCCAGGATCTATGGCCCCCATGGAATGACCCCAGAAGAGTAAAGAACAACCTTTGAGAATGGAAGTCACCATCCCAGAGCACAGGCTGGGCAGATAAAGTTCAGGAAGAGTGGCCCTAGAAGAAAGGTAGCAGCAGGCCTCAGAGCCTGCCTTCCAGAGGTACTGCTCAGAGAAATGCTGATCAGACTAAATCAAAAGTCACAATGGGGACCAGGCATATTGGTGTCTGCCTTTAATCTCAGCAACTCAGGAGACTGAGGCAGGAGGACTGGAAGTTGGAGGTCAGCCTAGGCAAGTTAGTGAGACCCTGTCTCAAAAAAATTAAAAGGGGCTGGGGATGTAGCTCGGTGGTAGAACATACCTGGGTTCAATCCCTAGTCTCTCTCTCTCTCTCACCCACACACACACACACACACACACACACACACACATATCATGAAGGGGCAGCTGTGGTCAGGTCTTTACATAATGGTGCCAACCTCCCTTCTCTCCTCCCTCCTTTGACAGGTGAGTGAACATCAAGTGCTGGGTGCCTCAGACTTTGCCTCTTTCCTGGAAAACTGTACCTATCCCTATTACTATGGAGAAAATGAGAGTAACTCCTGCTGTGATTATCAGCCTTGCCCACAGGACTTCAGCTTGAACTTCGACCGAGCCTTCCTGCCCGTCCTCTACAGCCTTCTCTTTCTGCTGGGGCTGCTGGGCAATGGTGCAGTGGCAGCTGTGCTACTGAGCCAGAGGGCAGCCCTCTGCAGCACCGATACCTTCCTGCTCCACCTGGCTGTGGCTGACGCCCTGCTGGTGCTGACACTCCCACTCTGGGCAGTGGATGCTGCTGTCCAGTGGGTCTTCGGCTCCGGCCTCTGCAAAGTGGCAGGTGCCCTCTTCAACATCAACTTCTATGCTGGGGCCCTCTTGCTGGCCTGCATAAGCTTTGACCGCTACCTGAGCATAGTGCATGCCACCCAGCTCTACCGAAGGGGGCCACGAGCCCGCGTGACCCTCACCTGTATAGTTGTCTGGGGGCTCTGTCTGCTTTTTGCCCTCCCAGACTTCATCTTCCTGTCGGCCCGTTATGACAAGCGTCTCAATGCCACCCACTGCCAGTACAATTTCCCACCAGTCGGCCGCACAGCTCTGCGCGGGCTGCAGCTGGTGGCAGGTTTCCTGCTGCCCCTGCTGGTCATGGCCTACTGCTATGCCCGCATCCTGGCTGTGCTCCTGGTCTCCAGAGGACAGAGACGCCTGCGAGCCATGCGCTTAGTGGTGGTGGTGGTGGTGGCCTTTGCCCTGTGCTGGACTCCTTATCACCTGGTGGTGCTGGTGGACACTCTCATGGACCTGGGGTCCTTGGCACGCAACTGTGGCCGTGAAAGCCATGTGGACGTGGCCAAGTCAATTACCTCAGGCATGGGCTACATGCACTGCTGCCTCAACCCATTGCTCTATGCCTTTGTGGGTGTCAAGTTCCGTGAGCATATGTGGATACTGCTCATGCGCCTGGGCTGCCCTGTCCAGAGAAGGCTCCAGCGGCAGCCATCATCTTCCCGCCGGGATTCATCTTGGTCTGAGACCACAGAGGCTTCCTATGTAGGGTTGTGAGGCTGCAATGGGAGTTCCCCATTGGCACATGCAGCCTGGCTCTTATCCAGGCTTCTCCCTCTCTCACTGCTGGGCTGGCTCTGATTCTCCTCCTAACCTCATCCCTGGGACTTAGGGGCAGCCTCAGCACCACTCGGTCACCATTGCTGTTCCATAGCTGCCAACCCCCATCCTGCCACTTGAGAGGTGGCTGCTGGAGCCCCACTGCCCTCCTAATTCAACAAGTAGAAATTGGCCTTCTCTATGTGCCCAGAGTAAAAGGGGAACAGGATGCTACCCCATGGGGCCATGGCTGAGCAACAACTGTGGCTGTCTGTGGTCCCCAAGACTTGTCTTTGCTTTTATTTTTATATCTAAAATCCTGCTTAAAACTTTTCAATAAACATGATAATCAGGACCAGAATGTGGAAGTAGTCGTCAATATGGACAGCCCTGCTGGGCAACAGTGGCACACACCTATAATCCCAGTGGCTTGGGAGGCTGTGGTAGGAGGATTGCAAGTTGAAGGCCAACCTTAGCAATTTAGCAAGGTCCTAAGCAACTCAGCGAGACCATCTCTAAATAAAATATTTTTTAAAAGGCTGGGGATGTGACTCAGTGATTAAGCACCTCTGGGTTCAATCCCTGGAACAACAACAAAAAAAAAGATAGCCCTGACTGGGCTTAAGAATATATTCCATTTCTCCCCTCCTGGCCCGGGGTCCATGCCGACTCAGCCTGCCTTTGTTAATGTCTTTCTGTGGCCTTTTCTCTGTTCTCTTGGGTACTCCTTTGGTCTCTGCTAGGCCCCATATTGCCCAGTGGTGCTGGTGTACACCCTTAGGGACCTGGGTGGCAGCTGGCTATATAATTTGGAAAAGGGATCATTAAGTGTTAATAAGACATAGTCCCTGTACTCCAGAAGCTCAAGCCAGCAGAGAAGATGTGTTAAGAGCTAGCAATACCAAGTCTTCTATACCATGATGTAAGGGAGTAGTGACACATAGTGAATCCAGGGCTTAGCATACAAAGGTTGGAAGCATTTGGGAAGGTTTTCTGAGGACTTAAAGGGCAACTAGTATTTTCAAGGATAAAGTAGAGAGACAGCATTTCTATGCAGAAGGAAGGGCAGTAGCAAAGGTGAGACAGCTAAAAACAGTGAAGCTATTAGTTTTGGCTGGCTAGAGTTAAGGGTTTGGATGGAGAAAGGTTGAAAGTAAGACTGGAAGGTAGTTCGGGATCAGGTGGTGGTATCATAGTCCAGTCAGAAAGCTATGTTGGTTATTCAGGAGACATGAGAGGTGATACAGGTTCTTACTAGGGAAATGGCAGTGAGCCTATAGGAAAGCAAAAGATGACTTGAAAACAGTCATCAGCACTGGGAGCATTTTTCCACTGCTGCCTCTGGGATTGAAGGAAAATTTAACTGGGGCTTCCCAGAAGGGCGATCAACAGAGCTAATAAGGAAGAGAGTGAAGGGATAGACCCATTGCACTACCAGTTCATCTCAATGAAGTCACTGATGTGCCATGACCCAGTTTGACAGGTCAGTTGGGCCCTTTCTGAGACTGCAGATAAGGCTAGAGGCAGGGATAGAGAAGAAAAATCCAAACAGTTAGTTGGGGAAGCTTGTCCTAACCTAGGTACACCTCCAATCACATCTAGCCACAGTTGGGGGTTTGTGACCAGTAAGAGAATACTCTAAGCCTCTGCAAAAATCAAAGGGAAATGTCAAAATAACACATCCTGCTTATAAGAAATATCAGTAGCACAAGATATTTGTGGCAGGCTTAGAAATGGGCCCCACCAAGACAACCATGATCCAATCCTGTTTGTGAATAGGTTACCTTACATGGTGAAAGGAAATTAGGTTTGCTAATCAGCTGACTTTAAAATAAGAAGATTCTCCTAGATTTTCTAGGTGGACCCATGTAACCATAAGGTCCTTAAAAGTTTGAGGAAGGCAGAAAGTGAGAGAGATGTTGCTAGCTCTGAAGATGGAGGAAGGGGCCACAAACCAAGGAATATGCTGACATGTAAAAGTTGAAAAGACAAGGAAATGGATTTTCCCCAGAGCCTCCAGAAAGGGCATATCCCTGTTGACACTTTGATTTTAGTCCAGGATGATTCATTGCAGGCTTCTGACCTCTAGAACTATAAGATAATACACTTGTGTTGCTTTAAGCCACTAAGTTTATGGTACTTTGTTGTGGTAGCCAGAGGAAACGAATACAATGTTGGTTCCAGTCCACATCCTGGACATCTCTCAGAAATAGGGAGTCTGCTGAAGAACATATGGGCATTAACAGAAATGAGATAACAAACAGACTTTGCTAATGAGTGAGATGCAAAAACATTTTATTTGTTGAATAATTATACAGCTTGACAGCTTCACTCAATGTCATCAGCAATTGAATTCAACAACATGTTTGTCTTTTCTGTCTAGGTGGGTTTAGCAGGTTACATCTGACAACAGTCCTGTGTAAACTGCTGCTTTTAAAACTTGTTCTCTTCCCAGTATCCTTTTCATTCTCTCAACCTGCCACTCTCAAAAACTCATTTTTCTTCTCTATTTCCTTCTACATTTTAAAACTTGCATTCAAAATAAGACCCAGGGTGGATCCGGAATGTTTCAGGGTATGGTCCTGGACAAAATGACTAGCAATAGAACCCTTAGTTAAGAACAAAAATCATGAATAACAAGAATCTTAAAACATGTATTTAAACTCTAATATTCATAACTTCACAATAATAGAGACTTTTTTCTAAAACTTTTCATCAGTAAAGGATTCAGCTCATATAAACATACTCTAAGGATTCTTCTTTTGTTTACTGGCAACATAATCCTTGCTGAGCTTTCTCATCACATCCCCATGGCTGATCCCAGCTGTCCCTTGAAACACCACTCGGTAATTCTCCTGCACATATCTGGCAAATGGTCCCACATGGGGCTCAATGGGGGTTCCATCTTTACGAGTTAATGGCAGCATGACCAGGGGCCCTCTGCATCTGGCACAGATAAAGCGTTCTGTGTTCAACGATTTGGTGTAGCGGCCAACCCTAGTGAGAAAAGGGACATCACACAACAAAGAAATCAGTCACTGTACCTCAGCATTAGCTCTGAGATGTTAGCCTTGAGCACAAAGAGAAAATTTCCTGCAGGTTCTCAGAGAATGGGGCCACAAGCAGCAGAGGGGTTGGGCTAGCTCAAATTAGGGATAAGAGTAATATAGAGAAGGTTAGGGGACAGAAACAGGAATACAGGAATAAGGGCTCGGTGTGGTGGCACATTCTTGTAATTTCAGTGACTTGGGAGGCTGAGGCAGGAAGATGGCAAGTTTGAGACCAGCCTCAGCAACTTAGCAAGGCACAAAGCAACTTAGTGAGATGCTGTCTCAAAATTTTTAAAAAAGGGCTGGGGATGTAGCCTAGTGGTAAAGTGTCCCTGGAATCAATCCCCAGTAACAAAACAAAAAAGAAAAAAAGGAATAGGGAATCGAGAAAGAGAACATGGAAAGAAATAGGTTCACTCTTCAAATCAGACACCCTTCAATTTATTCCTATAGTCACTACAAGAGCCACTTAGAGGCCAGACTGGAAAGTCTGAAGGGACAGGTCTTACCTGGTTTTGCACTGAGTACATTCATAATTAATCTTGTAGTTAATTGTATAGTTATGGCAACGAGTGACCCTGGGCAGCTCGGGGTGCACCGCATTGGATTTTCTTGCATAATACTTCCATGCATCACCATGAGAATCTCGGACACCATCAAGCAGCCAGGAAGCTGCATGGCATATTTCATGGATCAAAGTATCACGGAGGTGGTCTTGGAAAAAGATTGAAAAGAAACTGTGAGCACTAAAACCAATTTGCTTCTGATCTGCTACCCAACCCTTCAACTTTTACCACCACTAGACACAAAGCCATCTTACATAAGTATTCACAGGCAGTCATGAGTGTTACCTTCCCAGGATTCTGAAAGTGAAACTTCCGCCCACTTCAACCCAATTTTGTTAATGACAGAGAACCTTAGGTGAGCAGGTCTTTTTGGAGGAGCTCCGACGTGTTCATCTTTTTGTGGGGTGCTGCTAAAGATACACCTGGACAAGACTTGGTTTCTGTCCTCGGGGAACATAAGTGACCAGGGTTGGGGAGGGGGAGTAATCCTTAGGGCCTTGGGATTTGGTTAGAAATTCCATAGCAAGATTGGGATCTGAGCTGAGCCCTTGACAAATGATTGGATTTACAAAGCTAGCAAAGCCATTGGAAGGGAAGGTGAAAGGAGCAAAGGTTGAGGCAAGAAAGCATGTGGTACATTTTGAGGGCTGAGAAGAAATCCCAGTTGGAGCATGAGCTAGTAGTGGAATAGTGAGAGACAGGACCAGTTAAGTGGAGTGAGGGCAGATTACAATGGCCTCAAAAGTCAGTCTCTAGGCATTGAAAAGCCCTGAATTTCCTACTAGGAAAGCAACATAGTGGTGTGCAGGAGACTGAATGCAGCAAGGAAAAGAATGAGGGGATATGGACCCATATCTGGGTGGAGGCAGAGATGGAAAAGGAATGACAACAGGAGAGTCAAGATGAAGGAAGATTTGGTAATTGGCTATATATAGGGGGATCGGGAACCTCACCTAGTGAGAGAATAGAGACGCTGCCTCTGGCAAGTGGAAAATGTAGACAGAAAGGTAGACTTGGTAGATTGATGAGTTGGATTCTCAGGAATGATGAGGCATACAATGGTAATATCCCCCAAGCAACACATGGTAGGTTTGTTCACCCAAGAATGGCAGTTCAACTTGACATAGGCTGCCAGCTAAGAGTAATTAACAGGTGCAATGTCAAAAAGAGAGAGCACTGCAGTAAAGCTTCCATACTCCTGCCATCATCACCTGCAGAGTCACAGACTTTCAGAGAAATCTCGATCTTGGCATAGCGCTCCCTTTTGGGGTGTCGTGTCTCACTAGTGGTGCATAAGCCAGCAGTTCTCAGCATCTTTTTATTCCAGGTGATTTCTATTTTCTCTGGCATCTGAAAATAAAAAGCAAAAGAAAGGAATCAGAAAGCAGTTCTAAGCAGACCAGAAAATATGACCTCAGGAGTTTTTCTCCCTCTAATCCAAAGTAAGAGGAAGTTTCTCCCCCAGATTCTTGATGCTAAGCAAACTGGGGAGAAATCTATTCAATGGGCATGCAAATCTAAACATTCTGGGAGAATAAAAGCCAAGTTGCAGTCCAGGTAAAGATAATTAATAGGTGATCAAGACAAGAGAGAATGTTGAGACCATGTGCATGCAGGGTTCGTGCTCGCCTGTGCAGAGACAAGTCAGGGGCAGCTAAGGAGAGGGGTGCTGGTAGCAGGCCCGCCCTGGCCCCTGGGGACTCAACCCCCAGTTCTTTGTTATGCATGTCAATGTGGCCAGCTCA